GCAGCTACAAAAGGGAATGGTAGAATGTGGTACTAATGTACAATACCAAGATGAAGTTCTAGCAGTTATGGAAGTGAGTCGTGGGCAACTTACAAGTGCCAGGAGTGACAGCTCAATGCCTCCACATGTGCTGCATCAGAAAGATTTGGGGCATCATGTGGCAGGCCAAAGTGTCAAAGATGTGCTCTCCCAAGCCCACATTCCCAGCATGTTCACACACTCCTGTCTCAGTGATGTCTACACTGGCATGGCCATGTCCACAGAATGGAAGATGGCAGGATCCCCAAGGAGGTGCTCTATGAGGAGCTGGCTTCAGGCACCAGCCTCGTTGGAAGACCAACTCTGCATTGCAAAGATTGCCTGCAAACATGACATGAAGGTTGGAAACATCAACCCCGCCGAGTGGGAATCCCTTGCAGACAACCACAGTGCCTGAATACAGGCAGTCAGGTCGTGCATCCACAGCAATGACCAGAGGAAGAATGACCACTGGGAGGACCACAGAGAGAGAAAATGTCATGGTGTATCTGCAGTAGCAGAACTGGACGCCTTCCTCTGCCCCAGCTGCAACAAAACATGTCTCTCCCATATTTGTCTCTGTAGCCACAGCAGGCGCTGCAACCTTCCAACACCCCCAAAGGCACACTACTCCCATTGTCTCCTGAGACAGATGCCAACCATCTCACAACCATGGAGTAGTAGTAATAATGTAGTAGTACAGTAGTAGTAGTATCATCTTAAAGTATTTCACAACAATCTTAAGATGAACAAGTAGTCCTATCCCCATGTTCTAGATGGGAATGGTGGCTGATCCTTAAACATGGTGCTTTGCCTAAGGTGAGCGCATGTCCAAGTTCAAATCTGAATAGGGAGCTTCTGGCTCATGCTCTTAATTCTTAGGCTACACTACCTCAAATGAAATTCTGTTTCATAGGAGGACTGGCATGCTCCTATGCAAATGCAGTTTTGATTAGCACTCAAAATATGAACAAGATTTAATTGCAGACAAATAATGAATGCATTGCAAATTATTTGTATAATGCCAGGGGCAGGAGGGGGCTGGTATTAATTTCACAAATTGCTACTAGTCACGAACTTTTACCCAAACCGCTTTCTGCTTCTGTGGTCAAAGAGTAGCATACTAGAGCAGGTAGTGGTTTTTCAATCGACAGACTGTCTAAAATTGCTACACATCAGGATTTGCTACCTGGATCACCACCTTATTAATCCTGGGGTAACAAAGGTTACCCCCATTTCAAGCAGAAGTAGAATATATTTAGCAGTAAAGTGCTTCATCATCCACTGATATTTGAGTAAATGGAGGCAAGTGCATGCAAAGGTAGGCAAGCTGTGTATACTCTGGGCTAAATGTCCAAAAACTGCTTCTTGTCATGACCTCACACCCGAATTACTCTCTTATTTCCATGGTCTAAGTTGCTATTTTTTAATGAAAATAAAAAATAGAAACCGATCCAGAAAATCTGTCTCACCCAATAATGCCTGGAGTTGTTCAGTTCTCCTGGTTCCCAGTCCCTCGTTCATCTGGAACACCAGTATCTATGACCTAGCTATGATACTCATAAAACAGATTATGTCCATTTCTGTGGTACAGGGGCCCATCAAACTGTTTCTCCGTCAGAAAGCTGAAACTCTACCTCTGCTAGGCTATTAATTTTGACAAAGAGCTTCCACTCTGATGTTCCCATCACCTTGGCATTGTATCAGCAAATTGAAACTCTGGTTCCAAAATCCTGCAACTGTGACCTTCTGGCTTTCCGGGGGAAGCAAGCTTCAATTCCTGCCTTCACACAGCTCAGCAAATAAACTGTAACAATGGTGTAAGAGAGGAAGTTGTCTCTTCCATCATCCAGGTGTCTTGTATGTATTTAGCACAGTAGCATGACCACCAGGAAATTGGATGATTCATAACATTTTGGGGGAAAGATAGAATGAGTTTCCTATGGTGTGTTTTTTTTCCTTGGGATGGAATAAAACGACTGCTTCTCTACACTGCCATCTCTGTCAGCATGCAGCTGATGCGGAGAATTGATTCCACCTTATTTGCATTTGAAAAAGCTTGCATTGTCTTTATTTTGGTCTCTAATAACAGAATACATTGACACTGCGTGCTTAAAGTGGATGGTTGGGAGAGACAAGACCCATCTCATTCTAATACCATTTATTTTTGTAATGGGGTTTTATTTGAACTCCTAATTATGAGTGAATATAGCTTTCCCACTGTGTTGCCTCTTCTCACAGCAGTGAATTTACCTGTATTTGAAAGAAGCAGTCTGCCAGTTGTATCTTTTCATTATAGTATCAAAAAATCAAGCCTTGGGTCCTATTATTCTCTACTCTGTTGCTGAACCCTCAGTGAAGTACATGGTGGTTGAGGCCAGCAGGTCGGTCAGCTCTGGATGACAGGGGACATAATCACATGCACACACACCTCTATCATAGTAAAAAACTACACACAGTCTTTTCTTGGTTCATTTCTGTAGTAACTTGTTTTTCCTCTTTCATTGTTCATTAACTCCTCTAATCCTTAGTGTTCACAGCTAGGCAGATTTAGGTGCCAAAAAGCAAGGAAATCTACCACAGGCTTGTAACCAAAGAGCAACTTGAGCATTCCAGCATTCTTCAGTAGTAGGAGTTTCTCAGTTTTTCTGCCAGTTTTACCATCTCCAGCTGCTCCCTTGTTGCTTTATCACAAGTGGTTCTGGAGGATGCTCAAGCCTGTTGTAGGAAAGGGGCATAAATGCGTGATTTAGTAGTATGAGCAGAATTTTGCCGATGCTTCTTTGGATCCAAGCTATTATGTCTCAGGTTTTTTTTACTTCTCAGATTTTTTAAAAAATGTTCACTTTATTTCTTCCATTTCTGACATCTTGTAAAACGGCTATTGTTTCTGTAGAACTTCTTCTGTATCTCTGTTTTGTACTTTAGTAACCCTTGATCTTCCACTTCCAGTAAGCTCACCCCAGGTCATGAAAATAACCATGTACAATCACATCTGTTTTCTGTGATTCTTTATGTTCTTTTTCTGCATTGTTATGGTTTGTAGTTCTGCTTTCAGTATTATTACCTTCAGGAATACCAGGTTCCTTCCTCTTTCATGCATTTTATATTTCCAGGGTTTTATTATTTTCCTAGAATCATGAATTATCTGCAGTTCTAAATTCTGAAGTCAGCACTATGTGGTTCCCATTTTAGGAACCTAAAATTTTTATTTCTTAATAAGCTTTTCTCTTAGTGCCTTCTGCTTTTATATTCTCCACCAGCTCTTCCCTGTATCTCAGCTTCTAGTTATTTAGAAGAACCTTCTGAAACAATAAAGTTGTTTCCAAATGTATGCCAATACTTTTAAAGAGCTAAATATTTGTTAAGTTGTTCTGGGGTGGAGGATTAAAAATTTATATAAATATATTGCAGTTGTTTTTCAGTTCTATCATGGTAGTTTAAATTTGAATCTGAATGGTGATAGAAATATTTTTTAAAAAGCAGATGCAAGGGAAAAAAATAGGGATAGCCTGAAATTTGTAAGAGAAGTGGCACATTGCATCTATGCCATTTCTTTGCTCTACATGAACATTATTAAATAGAAGAACAAATGTAACAAATCAGAAATATTCCATTTTCATTGAGAGTATGCAAAGAATATATAAACAATACATACCATTGTGTTTTCACATTTTATTTTAAAAAAATACTTAAAGGAGTTCATGTCAGACTTCCTTGGAATGCAGTATACAAATCCAGTGAGGCTTTTCATGCAGTATGGAGGGGGATAGGGAATCTATACCATAAAACAACACAGCTTCACTTGACATGTGGTATATTTGAAACACTTCTATTCCTGAAGGACAACTTGTAAATTAAAATGTAATCTCTATTGGATTTTATAGATTCAAGATGCAGCAAGTCGGGGCTTGAGGTTTGTTGGAATAATACCTCAATATGCTTCCGAAATGAACTCCAAGAGCAGCAGTGCTGTAATATCCACCAGCAACAGCTCCAGGGAACTAAAAGGTGATAAAAACCCATCAGATTTTGCTGAGGATTGTGTTTCATCAGATCATGAGAAAGCTGGTTGCACTAATGGATGCAAAGTCCCAGCAGCAAGGGAAGAAAACGTTGACCAGTGTGTGGACCCCAATGAAGACTTGAGAGGTGAAGGGCAGGTCATTGAACATCTCAGTTTAAGCTCTGCTGGAGAAAATGGAGGGCAACTTCAAGGTGAGAATTCAAGTTTGTCCCCCAAGTCTACTGTGGGCAGGTTAGCATGATGCTGTATTGGGACCAGATTCTCTGCCGCTTGCTGTACTAATGAATAAACTCATGCGTTTTGCCATTTATTTTCATTGATAATGCAGAATGCACTTTATAATCTTCTTTGTTCTTGCAGGAGTGCTACAGGTAGGTGTCGTAATAGCCATGTTATAAACAGGGTACTTGGGATGTAGAGATGTTGGTTTGTCATGGACCCTTGGCAGTATTAGCATTTACCCTAGCAGTTCTAAGAATCCAAGGCTTTCATTTCCTGGACCAAGCAAGCTTTCACTGAGTATTAGAGGAAGAATTAGCTTGGAATAAGGTAAGAAGAGCCTATCTAGTCTAGCATTCTGTTACCTGCAGTAGCTAAGGAGATGCCTATGAGAAACTCACAAGCAGGATATGAATGTAATGGAACTCAACCAGTATTCAGAAGCTTGAGGCTTTCAGAAGCTTGAGAGCCAGTGTGGTGTAGTGGTTAAGAGCGGTAGACTCATAATCTAGGGAACCAGGTTCGCGTCTCTGCTCCTCCACATGCAGCTGCTGGGTGACCTTAGGCTAGTCACACTTCTTTGAAGTCTCTCAGCCCCACTCACCTCACAGAGTGTTTGTTGTGGGGGAGGAAGGGAAAGGAGAACGTTAGCCGCTTTGAGACTCCTTCGGGTAGTGATAAAGCGGGATATCAAATCCAAACTCCTCCTCTTCTTCTTCTTTCAATCATGGCTAAGGCTGTAACTCAATGGTAGAGCATCTGCTTTGTATACAGAAATCCCTAGGTTCAATCCCTGGCATCTCCATATAGGGCTGGGAATGTTTACTGACTGAAATCTTGGAGAGCTGCTTCCAGTCACTGTAGACAATACTGTGCTAGATGTATCCAGTGGTCTGTTTCAGTATGTCAGCTCCTTATGCTCCTAACACTATTGATAGCCTTACTAGCTAATCCCCATTTAAACCTCTTTAAGTTGGTGGTCATCACCACATTTTGTGGAAACAAATTTCATAGTTTGGATGTGCCACGGTTGGGGAATCTTTTTGGCCTGGTGGGCCAGATCTTTATCATCCCATCCCCACCTTGTGGGTCAATTTTGACATGTGAGCAAGGCCACAGCTGCATCAAGTCACTGATAGGTGGATGATCCTGCCCATCTGTCAGCTGAATTGGTCCTCAGGAGTGGGGGCAAGGGGTCTGTTTCACCAGTGAGTAGTCCTTCCCCCCCATACATCACTTTATATTAAACCACATTTGCCATTTTGATGCCCATTCACCCAGTTCAGTGATATCCTTTTGGAGCGCCTCACAATTTGTCTTTACTTCTAGCATCCTGAACAATTTGGTGTCATCAGTAAACACTGTTAAACCCTAATTCTATTATTATTATTATTATTATTATTATTGCATTTTCAGTTTGTTTTTATTTGCTTTTATATTACGGTTCTTCATTGGTATATCAACAATAGTACAACTGTTGCATTTTTTAAAAAGGAAAATAAAAAAAGAGTAAGGAAAGGAAAAAAAGAAAACTTCTTTTCATATACTTCCCTTCCACTCCTTCCCTGGTTTCCTCTCTATTCCCAACCTATCCGCATCTTATTGTTCTTCTAAATTTTCCTCTCTCCTTCTCTTTATCTCATAACTTACGCTGCTGAATTATGCTGATCCTGCTACATTGATTGTCTTTTGATAATATTTTTTCACATATTCTATATATAACATCCAATCCTCATTAAGTTTTTTTTAATCTCTGTTTCTTATTCTATTCTATTCTATTCTATTCTATTCTATTCTATTCGTCATACCTACTGGTTCCGCATATTCCAAGCAGTTTATGGTGCCCCACCTCTTTTGTTGGAATCATGTCTGTTCTCCACTTTTGTGCAAGTTAAACCCTAATTCTAGATCACTTACGAACAGGTCACAACTTGCCAGTCATAAAAGTTGATGCTCAACAGACTCCACTTTTTATATCCCTGCTTTTAACCAAAAGGAGTTAAAATTGGTCCACTGCCTTCTGGATTTGTTTCCTCCCTGCAGAGCTGATGTTCTCTAACCTCCAGATTGCACTTTCATTCCATTTACTACTTGCTGATAGAAAATGGAAATTCCCAGGGAATTTTGAAATTCCCAGAGAGAGGATACAAAGTTCAAAGCATTTGGGACTATATCAGAGGCTGTGTAGGACACTTTCACAATACTAATTTAGAGTAGTACAAGAGTTCAAATTTGGAAGGCTTGTGAATAGTTGTGATGATGCCAGCTACTATTATTATTTTAATCACAAGGTATAGTCAGTACTTCTACAGCCCCCCTTTTTGGACTTGGTTTCTCGAGATTGCTTAATAACTTGTAACTTGAGAGCAAAATTACTACTTCTAATGCTACAGCAGCAAAAACAACAACCCCCCAAAAACCCAATTCCTTTCCATTCATTTTTGAACAAAAGCCCAATGTGCTACATTAATTCAAAACAAGCACATAGATTATTAGATTTCTACATTAGTATCTCTTGCAAGATGTTAATTTAGTATAAAATTGTATATAGTGTTATATAAAAAGAAAAACACCATAGAGCCTGCCAACTATTTTAAAACACATATCTAAAACTGGTTTTTGCCATGTTTCCCTTAGAGGATTCAATTCCACATGATCTCTCTTTCAAACTAGAGGGAGGATACTCACACACATTTCTGCAGTATAATTTCTTCCACACAGCTAAGATTTATTAAGTTATTCTGAAATTGTTAATTAGGCCCATCTGGCAGGATTTTCAGGTTACTTTCTATCTTCTGTTCTAGTTTATAGTAACTGCCTCTCATGATTCTGCTTTTAAGCAGGTTTGTGTGATAGACACACAGCAGCCCCTTAATTCGTAAATTGTCACAGAATACCCTTTACAGACTTTTCATTCTTCCCAACATGTTATTTTGGGGGACCTTGCTTTAAACTGCAATTACAGCTACATTTGCAATTTACAGCATTTCTGAGCTGTCATTTATTGCTATGTATCTCACTTTGCAAGGGCATTTCCCTGGATGGGTCATTAAGAGAACAAAGGAAAGGGGGCTCTGTGCCATATGACAAATGGGTGGGGCCCCTCCTCTAGCTCTTAGAGAGTTGGAAAGACAAAGCCTGTGTTTTAGAGCAGAGTTTGCTGCCTTGCGACCTAGAGAAAATAGCTACAGGCAGAAAGGGAAGAGAGAAAGCCATGGCTGATTTCTTCTTGAATCCAAGGCTGTGGCAATGGGAGATGAGGGTTTCACTGCTGTGAACTTCTAAGTCGTAGGCTGGCTCAGCTTGTATATGCATAGTAGGCTCAGGTTGTAAATAAACCATTTATAATAAAGACACCACTGTCTCCGCTGTGCCTCATTCCCAAAAGGAAACGCAAAGCCTGCTTAGTGCCTGGAACCCCTGGAATCTCACGCCGCTCGGAAATTGGGGTGCCATGCAAAAATTCTATACATAAGCAACTCAATAAATCTATACCAATGGCTTGTTCACATTACTGTGGTCAGAAAAGGCTGGTATGCATTTAAGTGTGTACAAGATAAACATGCTATGTATATGTAGTAAACATGTTGCTGTATCTCTGATCTCTATGACCCCTCCCCTGTTTCTTTGAGAACAGGATAACAAAGATCAGCCCTGGGCCATATATTGCCAGTGCAGGATTTCTAGCAGAAATTGCCTTAAAAAAAATTAGTTCTTTAAAATTAAACCAAAATAAATGTAACCAGAAGAACCATAGCTTTTTCTCTTTTGTTTTGGGGGATGGCATGGCTAACTGAAGTCTTAAGAATAGCCACGAACTAATCTGTGAACTTTAAACAAAGAAGAAAGTAGAGACTAGCAAAGCTAAAGGGTGCAATAACAGCCAGATTATTAAGAATATATTTCAGTTACTATCAGTTTTCTTTTTCAGTCTGGGTTGTGGGTTGTTGTTTTTTTTTGTAGTTGGTTTAAATCCATTTTTCAAGAGCTGTTGTTTGCTTCCATGTTAACATCACCAGTAAAGTATGGTATTTTGTGTTGTGTTGTTTGCACAGCTTTCTGAATTGGGATTAAACTCATTTGACTCCACACCATGGTTAAGATTGATGCAAATTGCAATTCTTAAACAGGCTTAAGGCAGGCAGGGTAAGAATGGGAGGAACTGGTGCTTGTAGGAGCTGGGGGACCCCATGATTCTGCGGCCTGCTTCTGATTTTTGTGTCAAAGATGATGATGGTTATAATTTATTTCCTGTCCTTCATCCCAAGGTCCCAAGCAAGATTACAACACATTATTAAAAACAGTTAAAAACAGCTTGCCATCACAGAAATAAGGTAGGATGTCACAGTGATAGAATTAAGAGCACGGACAGGAGACAGGACCAAAGTCGCATATGATAAAATGCAACAAATTGCAGGAATGCGTCTTGAAAGAAACCAGGGAAACAATATATTTTCTGACTGTTCCGATGCCCTGTTGGGATGTTATCTCTTTTACTTGTGGATCCACTTTTTTACCTGCTAACGGTTTGCAAATTTGGGGTGTGTGCTCTGTTATTTGTGTGTGGATTAGAAAAGGAGGTATCTTCCTGTACCAAAATATTTCCCCACACTGCATCTGATTTCTTTATTATCCCTTTGTGACCACAGCACTTCCTTTTCCTAACCTGGAAAACTTATTCCAGTTTTGGCAGTGATCTTTCCTCCTCCCATGTGAGCACAGGGTATTATCTGCCTTATCTTTTACAAGGCAACCTTTTCTCCACATACCCCTTTCCTTTTCAGAAGTCCATTTTTTTGCCAAACCAGGCTTTTTTAATGAGAACTTTGTTATATCTTCTGCTCCAGAGTTCTGACTTTTCTTCTTCTAATGACACTATTTGTTTTTCACGCCCCCCCCTGTCTTGTACTACTTTGTAACTTTGAATGGTCTTTACTTAGCCATGTGTTTTGTTGACCTTACATATGACTTGCAGAATGTTATATCTTATCCACAAGTGTATTCTTAACTTTTTAGTGAGAATATAAATATGTTTCCATTTACAACAGTATTTAAACATAATTGCTTATGTTGAAATAATATTGGGTTCCTTTTTAATATGTGTACGTTGAATTGTAAAGTCCTTGGCTGGGAAAAATCCTTATCCTGTTTCCTACAACTACAAAATGATAAAACAACCCTCTTGATCTATATAAATCTTGGCTCAGCAGTTGGATGGTTTTGCCTAATCAGCATCTCTACATCTATCTTTTATTCGTGTAAAACAATCATATTCCACGATTACTAATTTGCATTCACACATTTTAAAGTGAGAAATACCATGAATTTGAAGATGTCTAACATTGTGTTTTTCAGCTACAGGATAAAATTACATGTGTGTGACCCTGCATTTTTCCTCAGAATTTTCTTTAAACTGTCTGATCCAAATTCTTAAAATGTACCTGAACCCAAAAAGCAGTTTAGGAATCTGGCAAGAAAGTGCTTTATTCTTGTTTTACCCCTTTGAATGTTATTTTTAACCTAAATTTCCATCATTACAAAATTTTGTGCCAAATTCCCTTATTAACTGATTGTTTGATTTTTGTAAAACAAAATAGAGGCATTTTTAAGAGGGTTTGGGGGTTTTTTTGGAACAGATGGCAATGCACACACCCCAGATTATGGTATGCAACTTATTTAACTGTTGTGGGTTATAGATTTGTGAACTAGTGAGCTGGAGATCAATCTTTTCTTAGTTATAGGAAGTGTCCTAGCCATTATCCTTCTGTCCTGCTTCTTAAATCAAATTAAATAGAGGAGGGAGAT